GGACTGGCACAAACCTTATAATTAAATGGAAGTGCTATGAAAAGGTCCCTCCCTCACTGTTCCCTGATTAAAGAGTGCATCTAATTTCAAGGTGAAGTAGACAGAAAATCCAGACTGCAGTAAAATATAATAAGATGTACTACCTGCCCCTTTAGGATCTCTTAAGTTTATCCCTTTACCTTCAGGAAATACCCTGGGGACAGAAATGTGGGTGTATGTATAGGAGTTTGCAGCTGTTGGCAGACAGGAGCTTTTCTCCTTGTCTTGTCAGCATCTGCTTCTTTACCTGTCCTCTGCACATTCATTCCCCAGGCCTCCTTGCTCTCTCCCCACCCCAAACCCCGAGTATAAAATGTGTCCCTGTTTCTTCTATTTATTTATTTAAATACCTTTTTAAAGATTTTATTTATGTATTCATGAGACACACACACACACAGAGAGAGGCAGAGACACAGGCAGAGGGAGAAGCAGTCTCCATGCAGGGAGCCTGATGTGGGACTCCATCCGGGTCTCCAAGATCACACCCTGGACTGAAGGTGGCGCTAAACCGCTGAGCCAGAGTCTGCCCTGTTTCTTCTATTTAAAGAAATCTTTCAACCCTCCATACCCCTAAGGGATGCATTATCTCATCATAGGCCTTTGTCTCATAGGCCTGTAGTATAGTGCCTGGCACATAGCAGATGCTCAGTAAATATTTGTTGAATGAATAACTGAGTCCTCTTTTACTTCCTTGCTAATAAACGTCCCCAGAGCACGTCTTTACAACTTCTACCTTTTACCATCCTTTCTGTCCTGCGTTTGTAGCCTGTCTCTGCCTGTCTCCCTAGAGATACTCTCTAAGGTCAGGGACTGCCCACGACCTCCTCAGGGCTCTCCATCCCCCTTTCTATGTCTCCCTTTTCCTCTTTTGGCTGCATGGCAGTGCATTCTCCCCAGGCAACTAGATTAGGTCGTGTTTAGTAATCAGAAATCTTTTTCTCTCTCTCTCTTTTAATCAGGATGTTCTTTTGCTCACCCTTTTTTTTAAAATTTTAATTTATTCATGAGAGACACAGAGAGAGGCAGAGACATAGGCACAGGGAGAAACAGGCTCCATGCAGGGAACCCGACATGGGACTCGATCCTGGGACTCCAGGATCACACCCTGGGCTGAAGGTGGTACTAAAGCACTGAGCCACCTGGGCTACCCTTTTGCTTACGTTTTGCCTCCTGAATGGAGTACATGCTCTTCCTAGGTTCTCACTAGGCTTCATTCCCTTTGCAATTACTTCTTCTGTGCCAGTGGCTTCCAACGATGATGGCTGTAATATAATTCCCAAATTCACATTGTCAGCTTAACGGCGTTTCTGAACTCCATAGTTTGGGTATCTACTGAAGCTCTCTGTGTAGATTATTTGTAAAGTTAAAAGTAATTTATTCTCCATTTCCAAAACAGCTCAAACAAATTTATTTTCCTCATGTCACTGTTTCTGCTTATTACCCCACCATCCTCCCAGTTAGTAAGTCTCACAATGTTGGCATCATCTTTGAGTCCTTCCTGATCCCTACTGACCTTTCCCTCATTCAGACCCCTGGTACCTCACTCCTGGTCTTCACGCCTGATCCCAAGTGTCCCCACTTGGCCACTGGACAGACACTTCCTACTTCCCAGACCCAGCCTCCATGCTGACGTGGTATGGTACTTCCTAGAACTCTTTGACCCTGGCACCATGTCACAGAGACAGCCATGACTCTTCCCTGGCCACTTAATCAAGAACACGGAACTAATATTTTTGAGCTTTGATCATGTGACAGGCCCGGGAGGTGTGACTTACTGCTTCTGTTTTATCAGAGAGGGAGCTCAGGCTCAGTGAGAGAAGGTCACATAGCCATGGTCACATAAAGCGTTGTTAGAAATACTGGAATTTTAACACCACTTTCTGGCTTTATGCAGTGCGGGTCCTACGTTTAAATCATTTAGCCAGGTGTCTGGGACTTGTGCCATGTGGCCCTGTGCCCTGGGCTGGATCCTCTGCCCACGGCCAGGTGACATCTAAAGGTCTTTTCAGCTCTCCCTTAGACCCTGATCCCCTCTGGCCCTTCTGTGATTTCCTGCTCTGATCATTGATCATCTTTGTATAGGTCACCAAACTGACTCCTACTCTGTCTAAATTCTACATTCCTCCTCCAAAATGCAGTAGAAGAACTTCTTTTTTCTTCTGTGTGCTTCCAAAGCGATTTCTCCATCTTGTGAGTCTTCACTGGACTTAAAGTCTGTTGCGGTTATAACGTATATCCTTCAAGGGTCCTTCAAACTGATAGGTTTTTCTCCTTAAGCATTCCTGTGGTGGCATCCTTTCCCTCGCCCCTTCCCCAGGTTGTGTTACTTTTATAATTAATTAAGTGTTCGATTTCTGTCTCCATCTAGAACAAGTTCCCTGAGGAAGGGCTGGTCTGTCTCACTCATAAATGCTTACGCATGTCTACCTCAGTGCCTGGCACATAGTAGATATGCAATAACATTCATTAAATAAATAATTTATTATTTATTTAATGAATAAATTCGCCTTGCTCTTTCTCTCACAGACTCTAGGTGACTTGCAGGAAAACAGCCACATCTGTTTGATCCCTGTATCGCCTGCAGCATTTAACTCATCAGCATTAAGCTCAGAGTTAGAAACTCAGTAAGTTTTTGTGCCTGAATGGGCCTCCCCCATCTTGGTACCAGACTGAGGGGACCAGAGCTCACACTCATTTTAGTATAATCACTTCTCCAGCCTCCTGTACGGTTTTAGGGAGCCGTGGGGAAGCCCTTGAAGCCCCCCACACTCTTTGCTCTCAGGCGACATTGAAGAGATCCTGAAGGTGAGGAACACTCAGAGCAGAGATTTATTGTCAGCGCCTTTCCATCAAGAGCCCTTGTTGCAGCATCCGGCTAAATCTGACAGTTCTCTTTTTCTTGCCTCTAGTCATTTCTTTCTTCACCTTCACCACCCTCCGACCATTCCCTTGCTTCTAAAATGTCAAGATTCTAGTCTTCTAGTCTTCTTTGGTGATCTTCTCTACTTTTAGTCGCTAAGTCCCCACCTCTGTTCACAGGCAATTCTGGGGTCTCACCCCACCTCACCCGTAGGGCAGCATCTTCCTCCCCTGAGACTTATTCCCCCAGCCCGCAGCCTGCAGCACTCTCTGCAGAAGGTGTCCTGCTGTACTGAGCAAAACGGCAGGAATCTCTGGGTCCTTCCTCTCTGCCTTCCCTGGCCCTCTCCACCCTCCTTTCAAGGCATCTTTCTCCGGCTGTAAGAGTTACTTAGGTGAAAGTTGAGAGATGGACATAGTAAAAAATGCTAGTTGCCCTGAGAGACTGTAATAGAGGGAGTTTTATGATGTATAACAGTTTTCTAGAGTTAACAAATCATTTGGCATTTCCTCAAACAGAGCCACAGCCAGCCAGGGCCCATCCCCATGAGGGCACACTTGGGATCCATCTTCCCTTCATAGCTGGTGCCTCTTTCACTGTTTCTCCACTTGAGAGAACAGAATGAGGTCAGCTTCCTTCTGAATGATACATTTGACTCCTCCTATAGTGAGGCTTCTGTCTTGCCTCCCCGCTGCCCCAGTGTCCTATTTAGAATTTTATTGTACCATAGAGAGTCTTCATTGCATTGAGAAGGGTGGAAAGTGCCCAAATAAAGAGCACATCTGAGTTTGAGCAGCCTGCTTCTTGAATGTATCCTGAGGCCACAGTAGGAAGTAGGTCAACAATTCACTGGACAGTAGATGCTTTAATTGGAAACCTACTAGATATATGAAGATGAGACACAATCCTAGTGTGGATTTCTCACCTATAAGCCTAGCCTTGCCTGTGCCCATCAGGGGCCCTCTTACACATACTCAATGCCACCGGCCAGTTTAGGGTCCTTATGGCCCAGGGATCTTGACTACAACATGGACCATAATGACTTTGATAGGTCTGCTTGGGGGCTTTTAGATTTAGGGACGGCACCTCTTGGCCTCTCCTGGGTGTGCTCCCCATAGCCCAGGTTTCAGGGAGCATGACCTGTGTGGCCACATCTCAGGAGTCCAGGAACTAAAATGTAATACAACCCCTGAGACCAATTGTAAACAAAGGTCATTTAAGTAGCTTCACCAAGTATCACACTACCAGTAGTATTATCTTCTCACAAGCTGGTGTGAACCTCCAAGTAAACAATAGCAGGGTGACAGTAGCACTTAACCTCTCATGAACTCCTATTATGTGGCAGGCACTGGAGGCAACAGCTGGCATGTCTGGCCTGCCCGCTCCCCATGGCGGTCTTGCATTGTACACAGTCGTAATCCCATTTTGCAGACATGGGAATTGAGGCTTAGGGAGATTAAATAATTTGTCCAAGTCACACAGCGAGTAAGTGGCAGGGATAGGATTTAAACTAAAGCCAGTCTATTTCTAAAATGGAAGAACCAAACCTGGGAGCAGCTATATACTTCTAAGGTTCCAGAAGATTCTCAGACCTTAGAGGTTCTGATATCTGATGTTAGCATATACAGTGCATGCCTTCTCACCATTTCGCCTTCTTTGGTTACAAAATGGGCACACTCAAAAACCATATTCATATTTTATTCATTTATTTTAAAGATTTTATTTATTTATTCATGAGACACAGAGAGAGAGAGAGAGAGAGAGGCAGAGGAAGAAGCAGGCTCCCTGCAGAGAGCCCCATGCAGGACTCGATCCCAGGATCCTGGGGTCACGCCCTGAGCCCAAGGCAGACACTCAACTGCTGAGCCACCCAGGTGCCCCCATATTCATATTTTAAAACAAACATTGCTACAGCTGCCACCCATGGCTCCCACCTCCATTGCTCCCTGGGAATGCTGCTTGTTCCCGAGGAGACTGGAAGTGCTTTGTCTCATCTAATATATTTTTTTTTCCTGAAAGACCCTAAATACTTTAACGATGGCAAACATAATAACCCATGACTAAAGATACTTGTCCAATCCAAATTTTGTTTTGCTTGCAGAGAATGGCAAATCTGTTCATTGGAAACTGGGAGCCGATAAGGAAGTCTGGGTGTGGGTGATGGGTGAACACCATCTGGATAAACCCTACGATGTGCTCTGCAACGAAATCATTGCTGAGAGGGCCCAGCTGAAAGCAGAGCGGGAAGCGGAAGAGCTCAGGTACGAGATCTGCAAACCAGTGAGAGGCTGGCCGCATATAAAATCATACAAAGTGGGGGAAGGGAATAAAAAAAATAAAATAAAATCATACAAAGATTCCTCTTTTTCCCAGTATCTGCAGGGTGAGTAGAGTGGGGCCTGAGAGTCACAAAAGTAACTTTAAATCCCTCTGGCAAGTTTCTTTATACTTTTCATGGTTCCCTTCATTCCCACAATGTGATCACATTAGCCATTTTACCTCCTCACATGTCATCCCAGTTTTGATCTGGATGTGGTTCCCCCATGATCAACTGGCTTCACTAGAATCATGCTGGAGCACCGCAGGCTGGCACAGCTGAGCATCGGAATATAAGTGAGAGGTGCAACATTGTTCAAGCTTTGGGCCTTCAAACAAGATTGGTTAGAGAGGGCAGGCCTCTGGGTGCTTACATGTGCCAGGTGGTAGGGATTCAAAGGTGAACGACAAGCTACCAGTCTAGGAGAAGAAACAGGCCAGTACACGATTAACTTCAGTCAGGACGGGCTGTGATTCATGCTACAACTAAGTTATTAACAGAGCATTAACTGAGCCCATTATTCCAAACCACAAAAGAAGTGAAATCTGAATTGAACCTTGAAAGATAAGTAGAGTTTTCCAGCTGCAGAATGTCAGGAAGGAGATGGCAGGCAGAGGACATGATGAAGACCCCTAGTTTTGAATGTGTATGGTTCTCTGAGTGACAATGAGTTCTTTCAAGTGTTTGGGGGTATACATGAGCAAGTAGCAGGAGACAGAGGGCTGTGCTCTGAAGTGCCTTGGAAGCCAGATTTAGGACTTTGGACCTTATTCTGTGGACGGTGGAGGTGTTTGAATAAGGGAGTGACGTGATCAACCAGAGATATAGGATAACTCAGCTGGTCGTGGTGAGGCAGATGATAGATCGATCCCCTCTGCTAGGGGCCAAGGTGACTTCTGTGAAGCCTCTTATCCCTTGAGTATTGACAGCCCTATCTGAGCTTATGAGATAGACAGCAGACATATGGACCTCAGTTCAGGTCCCGAGGGCTAGTGATGCTGCCCATCAATTCCTATAACTAAAATTATAAATGGGCATACAGAGATAAAGTAGTTATGTGCTGCTCATCATAGGAAGGCAGGGTGCTCTAGCAGTCTAGCTTCTGAACAGGAGTTGGGCAGACCTGGGTTCAAATCCTGGCTGTGCCACTATGTGGTCTTGGATAAATAATACAATTATTTTGAGCCTCTTGCAATCAAGCAAGGATGACACAACCCCTTCCTTATAGGGTTATTATGAGGATTAATTAATGCCTTTTCTTTTTTAAAGGTTTTATTTATTTATTAGAGAGAGCACTCACGCAAGCAGGAGGAGGGAGAGAGACAAGCAGACACTGCACTGAGCACGGAGCCCGAAGCAGGTCTTGATCTCATGACTCTGAGGTCATGACCTGAGTCAGAATCAAGAGTCAGACACTTAACCAATTGAGCCACCCAGGTGCTCCTAAATTAATGTCTTTAAATACTAGCAAAGGGCTTAACATATTATAAGCACTTAGTAAATGGTAGCTGTTAGTGTTTTTCACATAATTTGAATGTAGGCATCTGCTTTGGAAAAGCTGTCTGTGTTGGAGAATGTTTTTTATAATTCCACATTTGTTTCTCTTCAGAAAAACTCAGTCCAAAGAATTTGCCAATAGCTTGAAAATGAAATCACAATATTATGATCTGCAAGCACCAGATACCCAGGAGACTCACAGTATCTGTAAGAAAGCTGCAGAAGAAGAGGAGCTGGGGAAAGGCTCTCGACCATCACCATCCCTTGAAGAAGAGAAAATCCCAGTGAGTCTTTCATATGTGTAAACATGAGAATTTCATAACCAGAGGAGTTAGAGATATTGGGACACTGAGATGAATGTAGCTGAACAACAGGATCTCAAACGTTTCTTGGAAGAATCCCTCCCAACTTGAAGGTCCTGGTGTTCATTTCATTTTGGGGAATTTGGCTCACCTGCTACTTCACACCCCCTTTTTTCATGAGACTGAAGGCATAAAGAAAGAACTCTAGGAATAAAGTTTTACATTTTAAGATATTTTCAGGGTTTATTTTTCCCCGATATATTGTCTTCTATAACAGAGGTGGGCAACTTTTTTGTATGTGTGAAGGGACAGATGGTAAATACTTGAGGCTTCGTAGACCATACGGTCTGTCACAACTACCCAAGTGAATAGGTGAGGCTCTGTTGTGGTAAAACGTTACTCACCAAGACAGGGCCAGGTTGGCACCCAGGCTGACTGACCCCAGGCCCCGGACGCTGGCATTTTTGTGATGTTTGGCTTCACAGATTCTGCCTGTGACTGTGGGGACCATTATTTCCTCAACACAATAGAACTTTACAATCAGAGTTGGTGTGAATTCTCTTGTGTTTCAGTTGGTTTAAAGAGCTCAGACATCATTTGCTGCTTAGATTGTAGTTTGGAAGAGCAATAAAACTATATTAATGAAGTACCTTCTTCTGCCAGGAATTTAATTAAACTAAGAATTAACAGGGGATTTGTAGTTTGACTTGCATTCAGGTCCCCAGCTCCATGACACTAGCTGCGTGGGCTCTTGACCCCCATGAGGCTCTCAGACAGGGCTACAGTCATCTGTTCTTCCTACTTCATGGGCGTATTATGTGGCAAGGCACACTGCTGAATGTCTCATTTAATTCTCGCAATGACCTTTTTTCCTAGGGACTGTATTTGTCCATTTTATAGGTAAGGAAACAGGATTAGAGATGGTTATTTAATCTGCCCAAGGTCTCATAGTTGACTGAACTGGGATTCAAACAGAGGTCTGCAGGACCACTAGGTCATTCCTTAACTATTGCATTTGTCTTTTTAAATGAGGAATGTGAAGAGGCTTTATAAAGGGCTGCAAATATAAGGCTCGAAATATTTAGGGGCATAAAATTCTAAAATTTGGTTTATATCCCAGGGTCAGAACTGGGTCCTTTCCTCACATCTGCTGCTTTGTACTCCACATTTAATACCAAATTCCCTCCTTTTCTAGCACCCCTAAAATGAGAAACAAAACAGCAAGATCAAAAAACCTCCTTCAAAAGCATCAAGTATCCATGCTTATCCTTGAGCTTGAATTATAGTATTTCCTTAGGAAAAAAATGTTTTCAAAAGCAGGACAAAAGATTAAAGTAGAAGTTAAAGTAAATACCATGGCTATTATTTTGCTATATCATCAATATTACAGGGATTGTATTTTATGCACATGCATATGTGTGTAATACACCCACAGTGAGAGGAGACAATCTCAAGATTGACAGATTTACTCACTCATTTAAAAAGTACCCATTACATGCTTGGCACTGAGATTGTAGTGTAGGAGTAAGAATGGAATCACTGCTGAATGAACTTTGTAGTTGAGAGAACAGAGAGAGACTTCATATAACATGTCATTTCAAAAGATAGTAAGTGATCTCCGTAAAAGGATATGTTTCTGTGCACCCCCCTCACACTAGAACTTGAACAACAGTGGGGACTGTGGAGGGGTTTTGCAGAGGACATGGAGCTGGAGATGGTGGCAGAGGATGACTGGGCCGGCGGTTCCAGTGAAGGGACAGCATGGACAAAGGCAGTGTAGCCAGGAGGACAGGGGGCTGAGGAGAACCCAAGGGAGGCTGGAGTGCAGAAGGGACAGAGGAGCCATGTGGATGAGTGGGACGCTAGGCAAGGCCACACAGGACAGGCTCTCAGGGACAACTTTGTGTTTTGACCCCTGTTTTCAAGAACCATTGAATATTGTCAGAGATTTTTGAGCAAGGGTTTGACCGGATCAGATTTATATTTTGAAATTTTATAATTTGAATGGATCATTTGTGGGTCAGAGTAGGTGGAGGGGCAAGCTTTCTAGTACAAGCCACGTTTCTAGGCTTAGATGCCTGGGATAATGGGGTTGTTATCAGCATAAACAGGAACATCTGGAGGAGAAGCCAGTTTTATTTTTTTATTTTTATATTTTTTAATTGGAGTTCAATTTGCCAACATATAGCATAACACCCAGTGCTCATCCCATCAAGTGCCCATCACCCAGTCACCCCCACCCCCTGCCCACCTCCCTTTCCACCACCCCTTGTTCATTTCCCAGAGTTAGGAGTCTCTCATGTTCTGTCTCCCTTTCTGATATTTCCCACTCATTTTTTCTCCTTTCCCCTTTATTCCCTTTCACTATTTTTTAAATTCCCCAAATGAATGAGACCATATAATGTTTGTCCTTCTCCGATTGACTTATTTCACTCAGCATAATACCCTCCAGTTCCATCCACATCGAAGCAAATGGTGGTTATTTGTCGTTTCTAATGGCTGAGTAATATTCCATTGTATACATAGACCACAGGGAGAAGCCAGTTTTAGAGGAGAAGAGATATCAAGGATTTTGCATGCCACTTGAAGTGTGGCAGTAGTATAAGTTGATTTTATTCATAATAATATAGTGCATACAATTTGACTTAGAGTTTCAAAACTTTCTCTCATATAGTTATTTCTTTTTTTAATATTCTTTTTTTTAAATTTTTATTTATTTATGATAGTCACACAGAGAGAGAGAGAGAGGCAGAGACACAGGCAGAGGGAGAAGCAGGCTCCATGCACCGGGAGCCCGACGTGGGATTCGATCTCGGGTCTCCAGGATCGCGCCCTGGGCCAAAGGCAGGCGCCAAACCGCTGCGCCACCCAGGGATCCCTCATATAGTTATTTCATTTCACAATACTCCTGTGAGGTAGACAATGCAAGTATTTCTTTTGTACAGATGAAGAGACTAATGCTCAAAGAGATAAGTGGCTTGCCCAAAATTCAGTTAGAAAGCTCTCGTTTTTGTTTATCTACTTTAATTCTTATCACAACCTTGGTGTATTTAAAACAGAATTCATCATACTCCCCAGATCTGCACCTTTAGACAGGAACTCTGGTGAGAAACCAAGACTAGGGCTTTGGGAGTCATCCATTATGTTTACAAATGCAATTCAGGCAAGCCTGTAAAGAGTTCTACATTTCATCCATAATTTATTTTAACTATAGTATTTAGAAGGCTATTGTCATGTCTTTAAACACCATGGTCTACACATGGCCTAAAATTTATTATAAAGAGAAAAATTGTCAAACAGGTTTTATTGAAGTTAGTGATCATGAAGCTTGCCTGGATGACTGTGGACAGGTTTAAAGAGCAATGAGTCTTCCAGAATTATGAACAGGATTCACGGAAAAACAACTATAGATTTACCAACGTAAAATGGCCTTGTTAGATTTGTAATAAATTTCCACATGACAGATCATCACCAGAGGACTCCAGACCTGAATGTGAAAGCACCCCTTACTGGTCTCATCCAAACTCTCTGAAGGGCTGCGGAGAACTGGAGAATGTTAAATTCTACCCAAATATTGATGTGCATCCAGCAACGTAGAAGCCTCTAGTGTGGAGTCATTTAGTTGTGGGAAGTAGTTCTTCTGGCCAGTGGTGACCCATTGTATTTGTGCCGAAGCATAAGGGTACACTGTATTTCTGCATTTGTGTCAGGCAGTGTTTTCCAGCTCTGCTCTGATTATCTTATGAAAGGGTCAAGGCAAACAGAGTTAGGGACCCCTCTGGGCCTATGTGGGACTTGGGGTAAATTCAATAGTTACTAGTTACTCCTTCACTGTCCTCCTTGTTTACCCAGAAATATTTTGAGCAAGATAAAATCAGCCTGAATGAATGCTATGGCCAGCTTCAATGGGAGAAAACAGTACATCTTAGGAGCATAGCCAGGAGCCTGGGAAATTATTTGGTGAAGCAGGCAGCTTGGCCTTTGTGCTAGTAATTGGAGGGATAGTGGTTGAGGTGAGGAAACTGGCATTTAAAATGTGTGTAGCCCTGTACAGCTGTCAAAAGACTTAGATTTGCGGGAATCCCTGGGTGGCTCAGCGGTCTAGTGCCTGCCTTCTGCCCAGGGCATGGTCCTGGAGACCCGGGATCGAGTCCTGCATCAAGCTGCCTGCATGGAGCCTGCTTCTCCCTCTGCCTGTGTCTCTGCCTCTCTTTCTCTCTCTTTGTGTCTCTCATGAATAAATAGATTTTTTAAAAAAAGACTTTGCCATTTCACTTCCTCCTCACAGCAGAGATATGAAACAGGTTCTTGTTCTCTGAGTGAACGGTTCAAGGGCAATGGTTTCCACAAAGCCTGATTAGAGGTGGAGCTGGGCCAGAAAGCAGGTCCTTTCCTCGGGGGCCATCTCATTGTGCCCCGGGAGGGTATTCCCATCTGTATCTTAAGGATCACACTGTTAGCATTTGGGGTTTCTTCCCCTAATGCAGGAATGTGTTAGGCCCAGAAGAACTTTTCCTGTAAGAGAGCATGGAGGAAGGCGAAGAGGAAGGACTGGGGAAATAGGGGAGAAACAGACACGGTTCAGTGGAACTGCCCGGAAACAGTCTGATTCTGGGTGGAGGTGCTTCTCAGAGCTCAGGGCCCTGCCGTGACGCTCCCGTCACCGCTGTCTCCTAAGTCTTCGGGGCCAGCACTGATCCGTGTGGCGGTGTCTATCACTAGGCCACTTTGCCAGCTAGGCAGATCTCTGGACCTTCTGGAGCTTCTGTTTTCTCAACCAGAAAAACTGGGAATTAAAAATACCGGCCATGTTTATCTCATGATTTTTTTGTAAAAATCACTTGAGACAGTATATCTGGGAATGCTTGAAGAACTGCAAATCCCACTACAAACCCAAGGGGTTGGTTCAGCTACAAATTCTCAAAGCCTCTCGTCCTCTGCATGAGAGTGTCCTGCAGGCAGGCAGGCTGCACAGGTGAAGG